ATCATAATAATATCTTATTGTTTATAGAATATTACAGCATCGACGCATTATCCTCGGCGCAAAGATATTATACACTTTCTGCGGACGAACAAAACCACTTTGAATTTTTGGGTTGGGATTATCCTTCGAACCAATAATAATTAAGCTTATGCCAGTGATGCCTAACCCTCGAAACCGTGAAAATAAAGAAGACAGTGCAAAAACCAGACAGTTATTAGGTACATTTTTTCAAAACTTTTCAGAAAATAAAACTAAAGATTTTAATTTTTGGAGCTATATCGAGGTTTTACTGTATTACTCTCTACCCTATATATATTTTTGAATTCTGTTTACGGGACATGAGACTAAATTATTGGATCATAAATTTCATTTTTGAAAAAAAAAACGATGTTTTAAACAAAATAAATTGTTTGAGTTTTAAATACCTATAACTCATTTAAGATAACTTTACACTTTTATATTTTTATTTTTTTTAAGTACCTATATATTTTATTATTAATATGAAGTAATTTTTTAGTATTAGTTGATCTTAAAAGAAAAAATATTATACCATCAGTAGATCTTAACACGAACCCAGCTCATCCGTTTCCAAACATACCTATATGCTTATTGGATGAGCTTACAAACCTGTTATCAATGTTCTTGTTTTTAAACTTTTATTTTGTTCGTTTTGTTTGCTAAAATATATAAATATATATTATTATTATTTATTAATCAAAAAAATGTTGCCACCCCTGGTATATAAACCTATTGATTAAATAATAACTGTGTGTCAATTAATACCAGTAGGTAGTTATTACGCAATAGTATTCGAGTGTTCGGCAAATCTGATGCACAATTTTGCAAAAAATATTGTAACACATTATTGCCCCTATCTATATAATATACAAGGTAATCTTATTATCTTAAACCAGATAAAATCAAGGAAAGAATAAGGAATTTTTTTTTTTAGTTTTAGTTTTTACATTTCATACAATTTTAAAGTTTGAAGTATAAACGTAAGTGGCACAACCAGGATTTATTTAATTGGGAGGGATACCATATTGTTCACCAAACATGAACAAATCAATACAATGCTCAACTAAATGTCAACATTCAAAATTGTATACTTATCTAATGAATATTTCATAACACTGAGGAACAGGGCCGGATTTAGACTTTCAGATGCCCGTGGAAAATCTCTCTTAGAGGCTCCTAGCATAGTAAAAAATTACCACCGTTTATTAAGTATCACAAATTTCAAAACTAATTCAAAGATAGCAATATTATAATAATATTATAAAACCTTACATCGTATATTAACCTATCGGACCCGGAGTCTGCTCTCTTGGTTGCGACACTAATAAACGTATGTAATATTATAAACATAATACAACCAGAATAAATTATTTCCAAAGCTGGCCGAAGGCCGAAGGGCAAGCTAAATATTTAGAGTTAAACAAAGCCAATAATTAAAAAGGTGGGTAAGTGGATGTCGCTCTGCTGTACAGTAGGTTACAAGTGGGTCACTGTATAATGGATGCTATTAAATTTAAATTCAATGATACAATATCATTGTATAAGAAAAACGATTCTGAGCGAAGACGGTATGTCAGTCTAGGTTTAAGACAAATTATATACATATCTATGGTATTAAAAAAAATTGACCTATAATAAATTCCAAATTAATCATATCACATTATCACAATATAACAAACTTACGCGTAAACATCGACTCTTCCGGTGAAATCTAGCTAGAGTGCCGCCGTCGCCGAAAAAACGGCTATCTTCATCCATCATCATCTTGCTCAGAACTGAAACTTGAAAGTATCGAAATGTTTAATGAAAATAATCTGACCATAACGAAATGTGTGAATTTGTGCTAACAAACTGTCCGTATATATTGATCGCTTATTATTTTTTTTTCACTGAAATTATTAGAATTGTTAATCGTCGCCGACGAATGTCGACAATAATTGACGATAGCCATAGATATTATTATAAAATATATTATTTACTAAGATAAATCCATAGAACTTATATACTATACTCAGTACCTAATCGGTCTTTGTTAAATCGTACGTACTTTTACAGACATTTTTGTGAGCAGCAATGTACTTATCCTGGTTTTCTATTTCATTCATAGGTAGTTCGCATGCCAAATTTAACTATCCGAAACTGGTCCGCAAATGTATAGACATTCTATTAAATTACAATGTGAATTATTATAAGTCTCCTTTTTGGTACTTGCCAAAAATTCGACTACCGGGATTTAAATTTAAAAAAATGTGATTTAGGTAACCTATTGGCTATTGATCTATTATAAAATAGAAACTGAACCTACCAATAATATCATTATATAAAATAATTAAATGTGATAATTTGAAGACAATTTCTTAAAACCTCTAAAATATTTTTTTAATTTAGTGTTATAAATTTATAATCTAGTTAAGCGCCGCTCAAGCAAATTTTTCAATTTTTTATTTCGGTAACCCTAACCCATGTGTTGCGACCAGTTAAGATGTATATCTAAGATGCAAAAATTAACTGCCGGAAATTATTAGTTTTTATGGTAAAGCTTTACGAAGTTCACGATTTTCGGTGTTTTAAGTGCTTGTAAAAATGTTGTTTTTTTTAAAAGAAAATCACCATCATTATTTATTTTTGTATAGGTACATAAAATATAAAAAATATTATATTATACATAGACTTCAGCGCCCCGCATACATTGAATGTGTCCGGGGTCCCAAGAATCCTAATTGCGGCACTGGGTAGGTACCATCTATTAACTATTAAGTAGATATTACATGTATTTTTACTGTTATTAATTATTATTATATTTTGTATTATTCGAGAGTAGAAAGTTATTAGTTATGAAAAATCGATTTTCTTTTATAAATAGTATGTTTGTTATTATTTATATTTGTTTCTTAATAATTAATAAAAGAACTCTTTTATAGTGAAAATTGATCATCATATTACTTGACCAAGGAGAAACAAAGTACATTTATACGTATCTATATATATAATCTCACTCTATTGCTTGTTTAAATGTCACGATTTTTATATAATATAATACTGTTTCATCTGGTATCCACTGTATGTACCTATCTTGTTTGATCGACGTGTGATATATGTGTCGTCGGTGTAACGACTCAAGCAATAATAATAGTAATTATTATTTTTACTATGTACAATCTTCTAAAACCTAACCTCGTTTGGAACTGTCAAACACTCAAACCGACGACGACGTTTGTGTATCCACAACTCCGCCGCTACAAAATATAAAACACAAAGTAATATAATATCAGTATTTAATAGTTTAGGTACCTAAGTACCTAATACCTATATATTTATTCGACTAGTGCATGAAGAATATACCTAACCACCAAAACATTCGGGACCCGGTTTATTAGAAAATTCATCGTAACTTTGTCAAAAGCTGAAAATGTATTTTTTATTCTATAAAATCAAACACGGTGGTATCTTGTATAAAATATAGTTAAGTACCTACCTATTATTTTATATCGTTCAAATTTCCTTATGCTTATGGTCGTATATTTATCAGTGTTTAACCAAAGCGTACATCAATAATATTCACATACCTAAATTATAAACGTCCGAGATGATTATTATTTCAATAGATCAATATATTATATAATTTAGTACGGACCTATTGACTATTACATAGTAACTACATACCAACGTAAGGACTTGTTGCTTGATGGTGTTAAATATTTTCGGAAGTGGCCCGCCTTAAATTTGGCACACTTAAAATAAATTGAAATGGTGTCCGTTAGTAAATAACATAATATAAGATTATCTTTGGACGAATAATTTATAAATATCATCCATTATATAATTAGGTATATCTACAAATATATAGTACCATTAGTACCTGTTATATACAGATGTACTATATAGGTACCTACATATTCTATTAATTACTAATTATTACTATACAGACATATACCTGAATATTACTTTTATCCATTACTAATTCATATTCTAATACCATGGATGATTGTGCACTGTGCAGGAGGCAACAAGATTTTTTTCCTACTAAGTTTAGTATGATTTTGTTATGCGATTGATAACTCATTATTAAACTATTCGATGGTCATTACTATACGACTTGTTCGAACAAATCATTAAAGAAAGATTATTCATAGGGCCCCTGCAGGTTATCAATGTTCAATGTTCATGTCTATAAAAACATTTCCACTATACTTAAATTTAAAAAAAAAAAAATTGAAGCTGAGAGTTGGCGCCCACAGGCAAATGCGTTTTAGAAAAAAAAAATTAGAAATTAAACAATAGGACCACACATTAAAGACTTCAAACTAAAATGTCCAGAAACATAACAGAAAAAACTATTCAAAATGATAAGTTAAGGAAATGCTAATATAAACATTCAGTGAAATTTTCATGTATCTACAGTAATTCGTTTTTGAATTACAACAAAATAAGGAAATCGCTACATGAGAAATCGAGTGAACATCCAAAATTTGAGTTTCAAACGCTCATAAAAATTTAATTTGATTGTCCGGTAGAGATTTTTGAAGTTAAACTTCTTATGTGAGGGGTATTGAAAAAAAAGAGAGTGACGCTCGGGCGTCACGGACGCTCGGGCGTCACGGACGCTCGGGCGTCACGGACGCTCGCGCGTCACGAAAACGGTACGATGTTTTGTTTATAAAGTTTTTGATATTTTCCGTTTCAATATTTTGTAATCTTTTTGGAAACATATCATATGATATTATAAACAAACCAGTATAAACGTATAAACCATGATAAAATAACATGGTATGATGGCAACGAACTGAATATCGTCGGAGTTTGCGCATTTCATTGTATCCAGTTCTCCTCATAATGCACTATGTATATATATTACCCATACCAGCTCTATCGAACACTTAATATCAACTACCAACCCTACATCTATTATTCTCTGTGGTGACTATAATCTACCTCTTATTAAATGGTCTAAAAGCAACCAAGGTCTTTTCGCATCTGGTACTATGTCTAACACTTCTACTCATCTTGTCGATTCTTTCTCGTACTATAATTTTTACCAGCTCAACCAAGTGCCTAATGCCCGTGGATGCCTTCTTGACCTTGTCTTTTCTAGTTTTGACACACCTACTGTCCAACTTGCCAACACTCCAATCGTTTCTCCGGATTCTTACCACCCACCTTTGTTTGTATCTTTTCCATTTCCAACTCCGATAACTGCTCAAGACACACGTACATACCGTGATTTTAAATCGGCTGATTATAAATCCATGCTCCGTTATCTAGGATCGTTTGATTGGGAAAATACTTTTTCGCTTTATTCAGTTGATGATTCTGCTGTTGTCTTTAACGATGCACTTTTAAGCTCTATAAATAAGTTTGTTCCCATCAAAGTTTTTTCACCTTCTAAATTTCCTAAATGGACATCCACCATTCTCAAACATCTTATAATAACCAAGAAGAAAGCCCATGCTGTTTATAAGCGAACCAAGTCGATATCTGATTATCTTGTTTTCTCTGAATATAGAGCAAAATGTAAACGCCAGTCAAAAGTTGATTACTCTGCTCATATTAGGCATACCGAGGAGGCTCTATCATCTTCCCCCTCCAAATTCTGGAAATTTGTAAATAATCTAAAACAGAAACCTCCAATTCCGTCATCACTCCATCTCGGTAATATTGTCTCAAATACTCCAACTGAATCAGCTAATCTGTTTTCAACTCATTTCTCTTCGACGTTCAACTCCTCGGCTTTCCAACTTTCACCATTTACTGGCTCATCTGATTACTTATCCTATGAACTTCCTTCCGATATAACGTTTTCTGTTGACGATGTTTTTTCCGCTCTTAAATCGTTAAAAAATACTTACTCTAATGGTCCAGATGACATATCCGCTCAATGCTTGTACAATTGTCGTTTTTCTATTGCTTATCCAATATATTTACTATTCAGGCGTTCATTAGATTTAGGTATTTTTCCTAAGGTTTGGAAAATATCCTCTATAGCACCTGTTCTGAAATCTGGTGACGCTTCTGATATCCAAAACTACAGACCAATTTCTATAATACCACATATTGGTAAATTATTCGAATCGATTGTATACTCCAGAATAAAGCGTAGTCTTAATCATCTTATTATAAGTGAGCAGCATGGTTTTAGATCGCATAAATCAACCGTTACAAGTGGTGTTGCCTTCTCCTCTTATTTATCAGAAGTTATCGAACACAGAGGTCAGGTAGATGTAATCTTTACAGACTTTAATAAAGCATTTGACACAGTGGACCACGATTGCCTTATAATGGTGCTTAAGTCTTTAGGCATTGGGAATCCCCTACTATCTTGGTTGCACTCTTACATCACAGGTAGAAAACAATTCATAAAAATCAAAAATGCTGTTTCGGAGTTAGCTGTAATACCATCTGGAGTCCCTCAAGGAGGCCACCTTAGTCCTCTTTTATTTATTCTGTTTGTGAACTCGATAACCAAATGGATCACTAAGGCTAAACTCCTTCTTTTTGCTGATGATATAAAAATATTCCTTAAAATAGACAATCTTAATCAATGTCATATCCTACAGTCTGAACTAGATATTTTTGCAAGTTGGGCGTACTCCATTGGTCTTAGCCTTAATATAAGCAAATGTCATGTTATGTCGTTTTCTAGGCAGCGATCTCCTATCCACCACAACTATTCTCTTAATGACACTTCTCTTAACCGTGTCTTCCTCTATAAAGATCTTGGTATTCATTACTCACCATCATTAAATTTTGAGCACCATATTAATGTCACTGTAGGTAAAGCTTTAAAAGTATTGGGTTTTATTAAACGCAATACTAGTCAGTTTTCTTCTGCTCGTTGTCTCTGCACATTATACTTCTCATTAGTACGTTCTATATTAGAATACGGTGTGGTAGTGTGGCATCCCTACCTTGCTAAAGACGAACTAAGACTCGAGCGTGTACAAAATAGATTTCTTTCCTACATTGCCTACATAATAAAGATACCTCACCCAATGCATGACTATTCATTAATTCGTAGTTCATTGGGTATACCAATGCTGTCAACTCGTCGACAAGATGCTGATGAGCGCTTTTTAACCTCGCTCCTAGGTGGCACCATAGATGCACCCGATCTCCTCTCTAAAATATGTTTCCGTATCCCTTCCTTCTTCTCCAGAAATCACGCACTCTTCCAAGTTCCGACTCACAATACATTATACGGACATAATCACCCCTTGCACAGAATGCTTCGTAATCTGAACAATCTTAATTTTGATTTTAATAAGTAATTAAATAATATCATTTATAAATATGTTGTATCATAGTTATACATTACTAAATTAAGGTATTACCACTTAGTTTATATTATGTTGTGTTTTTCCATATGTTCTAATTTGTGTGAATTTGTATTATATTATTGTTATATCTATTAATTTTAAACTTAATGTGTTAATTTAGAATTGCCGTTTGGCGTTTATATATTATAAATAAATAAATAAATAAATATATTGATCATGAAAACCAATGAAAAGCGGCGAACTGGATACAGCTCTGTATGATGGTCGGCGGGGTAAGGGGTATGCGTATCATAAAGTTGCCAGCATACCATGTTATTTTATCATGGTATAAACAATATTCCGTAGTCAAGTTGATAAAAGCGAAAACGCATATATAATAAATATTCCAGAGTGCGCGATAATATAATATAATATAATATAATATACTATTTTTAGGTGAGTCAAATTATGTATATTCAAAATATAACTCGATGAATTTCATCATATTATATGACTATACTATAAGTATTTAATAAATAATAATAATAATAATAATTAATATTTAGTTAATATTTGACACATTTACAATGACCAACGCACCTATATTTTTCAAATAGTATATAATACTCTGATGGTTCAATTGTATAATGATATGACATAATTTGATATTACTCAATATATATGTCTATGGTCTATCAAGTATATTTATTTATTTAATATCAAATGTAATAATTTATGAATAACAAATTGATATATATATATTATGTACCTACATAATATGACTAATGTATTTTATGGACATGAATTAATACTGATATTAGTAAATATTTTGGTCCATTGGTCTAAAAGTATAAATTAAGTACCTACACATAATATTATAAAGGTAGGTAGTAGGTATTACTTAATGTATTACGGTTTTTAGGTGAGAAAACAAAATATAACTTAATGTATTTAATTAAATTCTGGCAGGTAAATTGCATAATGGTATGACTAAACTATACTATACTAATTAAACTATTTAATAAATAATAATAATAAATATTTAATTAATACTTGATTTCATCTACATATTTACCATTACCAATGTTCCAATATGTTTCCTTTATACTTGGATAGAAAATGGTACAAGTACAATTATTTATATTATATATAAGTAACCTACATGTATACTTTGTAGAAGGTACCTACTTGATATATCATTATTAATACCATAAATATATATATACCATTAATTAACATAAGATTATTATTATTATTATTATTACAAAACCTCATATCAGTTGTATGACTGAAAGAAGTTTCACTTCATCCCCGCGTACTTCTTACACGCTCGACTTTTTTTTATTGATAAAGGCAGACAAACTTATGAGTAATCTTGTATTACATTTTCAAATCTTAGATTTAAAAAGAAAAATTTTTACGAATTCTTAACTCAAAATAATTTATTAATTTTCGTGATTTTTCCATATTTTGTCAATTTTTGAACTATGCTTATAAAAAAAAAACTGTGACTAACGATTTTTAATATTTTTCATCTGCCTTTGAAACAATATACTAGGAGCCTTTTATTAAATTTTCAAGTTTTTTTAACCAACAAATAACATTTTATTGATATTTCTAAAAAAAAATGAAAAATGAAAATGTCCCTAAACAGTTCAAAATAAATCAAAATATTTTGAAAATGTTATCGTGTATAGAAAATGCAAATATAAACAACCAGTGAAAATTTCATGTATCTACGGTCATTTGTTTTAAAGTTACACCAAAAACCAAATTCAATTTTCTGAAAAATCGATTTTGCGTAAAAATTCCCGTTTTTCCTTAATTTTTCTTTTGTTTTTCTTGGCGCTTTTGAAAAGTACTGGGTATTTTAAATTTTGACCTCCCCAATGCACCAACGATATTCACTTTCCAATCGAACAAGATACTGAAGTTGAAAATCGAAGAATTATTTCGACTACTTATCGTGTACACAGACACAAAAAAAATAAAAAAACACACATCATTGTAAAATCAATACATTCATCGTTTCACTCAGAATCTAAAATTCAAAATACATGACCGGGCCAAATATAATTATACCACGTGTTCTCGAAAACAGTGTGCACCGTGTAATTAAATTACCCATATTGCTCAGCGTTTTCTATACATATTATTACATTTTGTTGGCGGGAAGTGAAACTAGACTATTGGATCATCAACCCCTCTGACAGAATTCTAAAATATGTGTACATAATACCGAGTAATATACTATTAGGTAACCGAGTTATGGGTTACCCAATTTTCGCAGATACACGGTATGCATATATGTATATTTTATTTACTCCATATATTATGTTCTGTAAATATATTATATTATATAATATATTCTAAATAAATTGTATGAAAAGAAAACAAAAATAACCAGCAGGATAAACCGATACGTCCTATTATACCGTACATCGTAGGTAGTGTATAATAGCAAATATGAAATAAGGGTAATATAAATGTTTGTTCTAGCTGCAATACTATACCTATATATACCGTCGAAGCATATTTTATAACTGTTGCTGGTATATTTTATTTTATCGTGAATTGTGGGTCACATAACACATTGAAAGCAATTACGTGGCCCGCGGTAGCCGTGCAGAGAGCTGATATTGTTTGTGTTCATTCGTGTATAGAGATTAACATAATATAGCAAAAGCTAAGCGTCTTACATTTAAGTCGTGTTTATACAGAGTATATTAGCTTTTACGACCTACCAGCTAGTTCAATATAACTCCGACCCCGATACTTGTAGTTTATTGTACATATTGTGATATCTTAGAGCATATTGTATTTATAATTACAAAAACATAATAGTTGCAGTTCGACCGTTTTCTTTGTCAATATCGTTTTAAATCGCATCGAATTATGCATTTCGTAGGTAACTAAAATAACCGTAAAATATATAATCATACAAACTGCGTGTTGGAAAGAATATACAAAAGTCACCAGCTAGTGAATCCTTTTATTACGATTTACTGCTCGTTGAATATCATAATTTATATAACAATATGCACCTTATACCTATAATAATCAATATACTATGGGTACCTATCCTGTTTATTAAAATCTATTAATCCGCTGCAGTACAACTCTTTAGGCTTCGCCTGTTTGGACTTCAATCAATTATTAACGAGGGTATTTAATAATACATTCGCAGTATGATGAACACAATATCATTTACAACATATTTTTAAAGATATTTGTTTACTCCTTTGAACCGTCGCCAAAATCATATGGTTGATAAACATTTTTATGAGCTAGTACAGTGGTACCTACAATCTATATATATAAAAATGAATGTATGTCTGTGTGTCTGTGTGTCCATGTTACCATGGTTACCAAGGTTGCCATGGTTACTAAGGTTACCAAGATTTCATATCAATCTATATATATAAAAATGAATGTATGTCAGTGTGTGTGTGTGTGTGTGTGTGTGTGTGTGTGTGTGTGTCCATATTACCATGGCAACCATATCTGTATATAAAAAACAGTAAGCTGATTGACTGCTATCAACGCACAGCTCAAACCATTGGACGGATCTGGCTGAAATTTGGCATACAGATAGCTATTATAATATAGACGTGCGCTAAGAAAGGATTTGCCAAAATTCGCATTTTAAATAGGTGCTGAAACAGGGACATTGAGATTCACGATAGAAATTGGAAATTTTATTTTTATTTATTTATAGTTGCCATTGGTTACAGTCTACATTAGAAATTAGCATTTATTTATTGGTTGCCATTGGTTATTCGGGCAGATCAGGTACAAGCTTGCATCAAATCGAATTATTGAACAATGCTTACCAGGGTGGCAGAGTTGCACTTACCGCAGAAAATTACACCCAAAAGGAGTTCAACAATCATAATTTTTTTAAGAGTTGCGATTTTTTACGAGCAACCAAATTTATAAACTTGGTATAACTTTGATACTTTAGAGTTAAATCATACACTTCCGTACAAACAGCACGGGGTCCGCGATCTACCGCAGGTAGATTGCCTACCTGATAATGTACTGCTGCGATTCAGAATTTTTATTCAGGGCAACGGGAAAGATAAGATAAATTTTGAACACCATACACGTTAATGAATTGAACAAAGTTTGAGTAGGTAGTATTGAGTTGATCCATTTAACGGGCGACGAAGTGCACGGGATCAGCTAGTAATTAAATATTATCGACCGAATAAGTATAGTCATTGGTACATTTAACTATAAAAATATTCCTGTATTTAATTTGTTAATGCATTTTTTACATATTATCTATATAGGTAGGTACTAACCTACTATTACGTCTTGCATTATTATACAGTGGCCTGCTTAACATTTTCGAAAGGTGGGGACTGTTTGACTATTCTCAGACCCCAGTAAATATACTTTCATTGCTTTATCATATATTTTATAATTTATATGACAAAAATAAACAAAACAAAAGCAGATGGATATGCCGCCCTTGTTATAGCAACTTGATATTTAAAACTATAAATATTTTAGTTATTACTTATTACTATTAAAAAAATATTGAAACCCCTGTAAGTCTAGACCTAATACTAATAAGCAACCTTAATCAATCTCTGCTTTTTGAATTTTTTGAACTTTTTATAGTTAAATATTTGCAGGTACACCTAATATAAGAAATATATTATTATTTATTAATATTTTTTTACGATATCCTTCACGTATAACTAAAACTAATTCCCCATCACGAAAAAATAAATATTTTCAGAAATAGGTAGCTATTATTTAAGACTATTTTTTAAAAATTAATAGTAGGTACCTACTATTGTACTATTGTCTATTGTAGTACAATTCAAACAAACTAAGTCGACCTACTCGTTGGTTTTAATACAATAATACAGTTATAACTAAATCTGATTAAATTAATTAATACTTATAAACTGATTCAACTTTTATATTATTTTCGGAAAGACCGTCAAATCTAATCCTTGTAATCACTATTGCTAAGTACATAATATGATCGGTTTTACTATGGTCTTATAGTGGACTGTTGTACAACCACTCATTACGTCCACCTCTAACAACCACAGCCTCCAGTCACCCACCGAACAATATTAACACGTCCATAGAACATAATATTTGAATATTACCGGTGTTACACTAATAATATTCATTTCTTACCATATAGTATTTTGTATTTTTGTAATACCATAACATTTAGTCAAGACGCGCGTGGTATGTGTGTTTACAGCGAAACAATGGCCCAAGTCGAGCACGATCCGCGTGCCCGTGGGTACCGCGGTGAACGTCACGTGCGGACCACCGAAGGCGTTTTACTGCCGAATGTCAGGCCCGTCCGGCGAAGTGTCCAGGCACAAGGGCCAGTGTTGGGTGCACGTCAAGTCGGTCGGGTCGCATCACCTGGACGTGTGGACCTGCTGGTCGGTTACAGCCGAGTCCGCGGCCGAAGTTCAGTACACTCTCCGCCTGCACGCTTACCGAGGTGAACAACAACAGCAACAATAACTATATACCGCTAAACGTTTATTATAATCGCTTTCCTCGCCTCGTTCCTCCGCTGACTTCCCCATTTCCCGTCATTGTAGTAGGGTTCTATAAATAGACGGAGGAAAGTTATTTTCTTTTAATCATTTTTTTCTTTCCGCCATTAAGGGTTTTATTATTAGTTATTAAGGTACTCGTGTAGTATAATATACTACATAATATAACATAATATGTTACCTAACGTTACTTCGTTGGTGTAGTATGCTACCTATCAAAAAACATTACGGGTGCTTACCGTAATTATTTACCTACCTATTAATTATCGGTTAATAACAATGTTAACAATGTTTAAACTATAATTTAAATTAATGTTATGAATCTTAATACAATTTAATTTGTTGAAAATTTAATACAAGACTGTTATTAAATTGTTACAATGACATTTGAAAAGTATTAAAAGTCCATTTTTAAATAAAATTTAAAGTTCAAATGTTGACAAAACACGTAAAAATCACGAAAATGTGCTAATTATTTTGATTTAAAAATTCATAAAAAATTTTTCTTTTTAATCTAAGATTGAAAATGTAATACAAGACCGCCTCATAAGTTTGTCTACATGTATGAAAAAATAAAAAAAGTCTACAAGAAAGTTAAATTAAATTCTCATGAGAGTTTGAAGTTCATAATTTTATAACGTTGGACATTCACTCTAATTCTCTTTTAGTGATTTTCTTATTTTGTTGTAATTCGAAAACGAACAACTTTAGATACATAAAAAATTGTCTGAATGTTTATATTCTCATTTTCTATACATCATACAATTTCGAAAATATTTTGACTAGTTTTAAGCTGTTAACGGAAATTTTTAAATTTCAATTTTTTTAGTTTTTTCTATAAATATCAATAAAATTTTATTTGTTGGGCCAAAAAGCGTTTTGTTGGGTAAAAAAATATTACAAGTCTCCTGATACCTACTGTTACTTTAACTGTTGAAAAATTATAAAAAAAATACCAATTATTACAACAGGTAAATTAAAATTATTTTTATCTATCAATAAATTTACTTCATTAAACTTAGATTCGTTTTTAATATATATATTAATATCTATCTAGTTTATCATTGTTCAATTATGTTTTATGAAGTACCTATTGAACTTTTATAACATTAACTAATAACATATATATAGTTGGGCGTAATTAAGATAATGACGATACTACTACGATTGTCGATTAAATAATCTCTCAAAAAAGTATAATCCATTTTGAGTCCCTATATAGGTATACTACAACTATTACCTATATCTGATTTATCATTTTTTTGATCACATTTGTCCCAGTTGCCATACTAAATTACGAAACTTGAAAAACAATATTCTATTTTAAATTATCAAATAGGTATATGTAGCTTAAAATATTCAAACAATACTGTTTTAATCGTGAATTCATGAACAGTTGTCAATATTTGTAATGGAAAGAAAAATTCCGAAATAATAAACCACAATAATTTGATTGGTGAAATACTGAAATAAATTGAGGGTGCTAGTTCGAAGCCCCCTATGTGCGCCCATGTGCTTGACACAGCGAGATAAATGGACTGAAACATGGATTAAAATAATATAATATCTAAAAGTAAGTTATCGTGGGTCTTGGTGCAGGATATTTACAAGTTATTACGATGTCTATTGCCTATTTAGCTATTATAGTATTGTATCACCGTTATAATATGTTGGTTATCATCTTAATAACTCAAGTCACAAGACAGGTACTTTCCCGTAGTAAAATTATTAAAAAATATCAAATATTATATAAGAGAACGTATGGCAGGTAGATATGTCATATTTTCCGGTAGCATACCTACTACATGCAGTACAGTTTTTACTTTCTTTGTAGGTAGCAGTATCATTTTCCGGTAGATAGCATACTACATGAGTACCGTTATTAATTATCATAGTTGGGGATTATCCGACCATCATAGACCATTGTATGTACGATATCAGATATCTCACATTCACATATAAAATCTTGTTTCATAAATTGCATAATGTCAATAGGTATATATTAAATAGCCAATGATACCTAATGGCTAATCCCTATAATAGTATAAACCTACAACCTACATTAAATATAAATCAACATACATTTAAAAAATGTATTACGAACTTATTTACAATCTTAATTCGACCATTATATTATAGCTTATACTATTTTCATTATTTAAGGATAATGTCGGGGTTGTTTGCGCCCCTATGAACTAAGACATTATTTTCTATTGACTGATCGATAGCTGTTTGTTTATTCTTCGTTACTGTCATATTATAGTGATAAGCACCGTAACTAACATAAACACAACACCACCGAACCCTGTTTGCGCCGCAAACAGGGGTACCTACATACCTATCACAGTCTCACTACAAGCCACACTATAAATTCTAAATTTTTATCTATCAAAAATAGTCAATTAGAATTTTCTACTCCCATATATTAGAACGTATATTATTCTAATAAATGCATAGGTAATAATAATAATAGGTAATAGCCAATAGGTATATTATGCAATTTATTATAACACACTATATATAGCTTTTAGATTCGTAATAAAAATATAATGCATTCAATGGGGAGCTATAGCCTATAAGCCTATAGCTAAAGCTAACCTTACTCTTTAGTCTTTACTACCCTCTTCTCCGTGCTGGTGAACACTAGTACACTGTACGGCGTTGTCATGTTTTTAACCCTTAATACAAATACACGAACAAGACCACGTGTTTTGCGAACTGTCTGTGTTTTTTTTTCTTTGGTCACTATACATACAGCCGTCCTCATGTCTAGAGGGCGCAGTAACGGATGTCGGATGCGACGAAACTCCGTCCGAGGTGCGAGTGTTTTGCAACGTCCGCAATGGTACCGCCACTCCAGACGGCGGCGACGGTCACTTCCGGTCGAAATACTGCCGGCTTACGTTACCGCGAGACGCAAAGATCCTGTCACTGGCTTACGGGAGAGGCACTACCCGATACTCGTATTATGGTGCGACGTACAACGATTGCGGTGTGTCATTCGCTAAACCACTGAGAGGGTCCGAGATCGGCCGATGGAAATGCATGAACGCCATGTCCGACGACCGCGTTTATGGAGGGTTCGTCGTCGTCGTGCCACCCAACAATACGAAAGGTATACGACCTACGACTATAATACTCACGACTGACTACGGTGATGACCATATTTTTATTGCAATACAACTCATGTCCGTATATGCATAGTCTCTATATCCATGTATATAAGCATCATATACGATCATATATAATAAATATATACAACATAAATAATTATGTATAGCATAAAAACTTTCTATAATTTTAGTTTTGTTTCAAAATTAAACTTTGAAATAATACAAATTAAACACACACTGGCATTCTCCCTGAAACCTATCCACGTATGATGTGTTCTTCTAGATCCACAAAAGTGACTACTATAACCACCTGTACGACTGTACCCACGGTGAAGGTACGGTTACGGTATACCTATTACCTACTAATCACTTATATTATTATAAGAAATGTTTTTTGTACGATACGAATTATCAATATAAAAGTTTTTAATTATTTATTCGTTGCAAAATTCGTGCCACTCATATCCCTGGGCCAATGATAAACGGTTGTAATTATGTATCATAGATAATGCGGTTTATCTTTATGTATAATATTTCCTGATCGTTTTGCACTCTGCAGGTATACCTCCGCTCACGGTGACAACCGGAAGGTCTGTGATGGTGCCCAAGGGCAACACGTTTCATGTGGAGTGCAGTGTACATTCAGAGATCGAATATTGCTGGTTGCGGCACCCAAACGGCACTGCTATCCCGGTGACGGTTCCGGACAGCACTGCGGCCGGTGACCCGAAGAGGGTCGGAACTCGGTACCGGTACACGGGCGAAGGGTTGTCGTTCGGCCAATGTCACGTGGCGATCGGCGACGCATCCACGTTGGACACGGGTCCCTGGCTTTGCGCTTTGGGTCTGCGTGACGACCGCCGTGAAATGTACGGTACGATGGACGTTACGGTTTCCGGTACGTGTGTAATATTATGTACAAATATATAATAAAATGATAACTACAAGCGCGACTGATCTATCCTCTGCGGGACAGTGGAGCACACAGATATTTTTAATGGGAGGAGTTACCAAGGGAGGGGGGAACGATCACCCAAATCTCCCCCCGCGTGAACACCATTACTGTGGGGTTAACTGTACTACTTCAGGTCTGCATAAAATTCGAAATTCCTTCTATCCAACGGCACGTACCTATAAGAATGCGATGGAGAATTTTCTCGGAATCGTCATCACATACCCAGCAATATGCGCGGTTATCTAATATCTATGTGAAGTTTGTCGTAAATCCTGTTTGCGCAGAGTCCGTGATTGCTGCCCGCCAGGAAGAATTGTACGCCACCGAGGGCACCCAGGTAACGCTCGGATGCGACACGGTCGAGAAGCAACCTATAGCCTACTGCCGGTTCCTCACGCCGCGTCTACTTGGATTCGCTGTGGACGAGAAATCGAACGCTCAGCCACCGCCCCGGTACGCGTACTCTGGCCAAGGACTGACGGCCGGCCACTGCGGTTTGTCCGTCGACCGCGTCGACGATTCCGACTACGGAAACTGGACATGCGCCGTGAAGATCCTAGACTCTTCCGGATCTGAAGAAGTCAGCACGACCGTCCTGTTGCGGAAACCCGAAGGTATATATATTACATTACTACATATCATCATTAACAACACGCGCGGGAAAGAACCAAGAAGTCACAGACGTACAGTGGTCAGTGACTGTGTCAGGTCAACAGTTATAGACAAGAAAGGATATTATTTTCAATATAAAATGAGGGAAACTTTGACTTTGCTACAGTTAAGTTTTTATTTTTTCGATATTACTTTTAGCAAGAATATTATTCAACATAGAAATAACAAATTTCAAAACATTAATGACTTTGTTCGTTTTAATGACAAAATACAAGTATTGTTTCTTTAAATATAAAACAGGAATACTAAGATTGATGATTAAATAGTCCCCCCCAAAGACCCAAGTGGTATGTGGCTATAGGTTACTGTTTTTACCCGCACAACACAGTTTCCAACAAATATTTTATGTACTATAGTTTATTTTACTTAATGCACCAGCGAGTGTTCTTATGTGTATATTATCTACAGTGCTTGGAAAGTTCCTTTAAAAAAGGAACTAGTTCACGTTCACGTTCCTCTTGTTAAAAAGAAACTAAATCCTTTATCGTTTCTGCAGTCTTGACTAGTTCCTTTCCTCGTTCCTTTTTAATGTGACGTAAAATAAAATAAAAAAACATAGGTACATCGTACATGTTTATACTACAATTGTTTTAATTTTAAAATTTTAAATATAAGTTATTGTTATTTAAACATGTAATAGTTTTAACTTATATAATTAATAAACTGTATAAATAAACCGCCGTGACAGAAATACAGAATTTATATTTTGTAAACATTATCAATAATATCGTATAAGTGCAGGTTTATTTTTATAGCTCTTCATATTAGTTGGGCACTAAATTTTAATAGAAGCTATACATTTTTTTCTTTTTAGTTTTAAAAATGATTTAATACTTTATTAAAATAAATTAACGAAGAAAGGAACGAAAATAATAGTTCATGTTCCTCTAAAAAGTGAACGAAATCCCAATACGTTCCTAAACATGAAAAAGGAACTAAGTTCCCGATAATTTTCTAAAAATGAAACGAAATCAAAGGAACGGATTCCTTTGAACCCGTTCCTTCCAAGCACTGATTATCTATGCTATGTCGCAGGGTTTACGATGATCCAGATCATCGGCATCGTGCTATGCGGCACTATGATATCCATCATGTCGCTGTTCTTCGCCAATCACCTCATCACCAACCCGTCAGCAAAGACGACGAAAAAAATCGAAAAATTAGAAATGCAACTCGAAGCGGGCGAACAAGGTGCAAGTCGCAGGGTAGGCGCCAGAAGAGCGCAGAACAGCACGCGCGTGATCAGGACTCAGCCGGGTCGGAGCAAACACGGGTCCATACCTCGGAGAATTTGACCTCTGCACTCTATTATTTTAGTGGCTGCGATCACCATCCAATTTTTCGAATATCTGTAACTCGAGATCCATACTACAATAGGTTTAAGCAAAATCTTTCGTTTCCGTTCAATATGATGATCATTAAAAAATGTCCTATTGATTCATTCACAATAGCGTATAATAACAAATAATAATAAACTGACTTCTGCAGATTATATTTTATTATGTTATTAACATTATTTATACACTAGGTATTTATTATGTATGGCCAATGGCCCGTGATGCCATGGTGGTAAGCAAAATAACAATTAACTTATTCCCTGATATCACTATATCAGACTATGAATTCCTAACGACTTAACTTACAAAAAAATAATTGTATTGTAATATTTTAATTCCCGGTTCCGTGATCGTTAAATGATTATTTGGATCAAACGGGTGGAATCTCAAAAAAAAAAAAACGAAAAAGATACCTACCTATGTGTTTCTTTATTTTTAAGAGTAATTTTTTTTTTTTTTTTGACAATTTTACAACTTAAGTACGCTGATGTACCAACTGTGGAATTTGGTAACTTTATTATTTTCAATTGGTAACAAATAACAACTATTTTTCGATTTTACTAATCGATTCCGACACTCGCGTACTAGGCTTTTAGCTTTTTTCCTGAAAATGTTGATGGTCGGATTCATCAATTTTGGTCCACTACTTTATTAAATACGGCCCTCTAAAGTCTGAAGTTTGGTAAACGTATATTAATAGTTTTAAATTGTAATTAACAAATTGGAATAAATTTAGTTTTCTACAGGTAAAATTTTTTTTATATATAATATTATCTTGAGTATTTTTAACTCGATTTCATAATTCATATCGTTTTATAATGTTACTAAATAAAATATAATAACATAAATAAAAACATTTTGTTCATTTTTTGGATAGATCGAAGATCCGCATAAAGTGACTGCAAAATTAGTAGTTAATTATGATTTAAAATAATACATAACAAATGATTTTATTATGATTTTTGCTAAATTATAACAATTTATTTATTTTTGAGATTTAAAGAATTTCGTAAAAATTTGAACTTTAAATGCTTCAAAAGAAATGGTGACCATTTATCTTCGATATTTTTTTTATTATGGTTTGAACAACTTATGTTGAACGATACAAAAATTGACATGCATACATAAATAAACATACAAAAGTCAAAATTTTAAATGTATAAAAAGCACAAAAAGAGCCATAATTCCATAATATTTCTAAAATGATATCATGTCTAGAAAATGATAGTATAAACCTTTAGCTGAATATTAAAGTCTATAGTCTATTCATTATTTGTAAACAATAAAAAAAAAACAAAATGGATTTAGGTATCGTGTTTTTTTTACCATTAATTTTGTGAAGTAGTGACAAACTTTTGACTCCCCTTCTTCCCTTAAATACAAAACTTTCAAAGTTGAAGATTGAAACATTTTATCCTTAAAAGGTTAACTACAGACAGAAACTAACCAATACAATCATCGCTTCGCTCCACTCAAAATCTACAATATTTCATTGGGAAATAGAAAAAAAATGTATGACTAATTAATAATAAACTATCTTATAATACATGAAAATAAAACAAATAATAAAACAATTTTAAACTTAAAAAAATATAATCGTATTATTACATAACTTATTATAATTTAGGTAACATTTTTTCTTACTGTACAAAATTATTCTAATATAACAGTATAATTTCAACCCATTTTAATCATTAATATTTACAAAAACTTGCTTGATTACTTAATATGAATGTTAATAATATTTAATATTCTATTTTTCATTCCATTGATTTAATACTTTTTTATATTATCCATACTAACATTTATTTTTAGTTTAAAAAATATAGATAGAGCTATTTATAGTTAGTCTATAAATAAAAAAGTATTGTCTTTAACTATACAGTGGAATTATATGAAATGCTATAGACTTTACATTAACGTCATTAACTAAAATACTTATAAATATTTATAAAAGTATTATAAGTCCAACAAATTATTTGTGTCATCATTATATTATTTTGTAAGTATAAAACATTTTTATTTAAGTATTAAAAACATTAGATATTGCAATGATGTAAGTTCTGAAAACTAAAATTAGCGACTTCTAAAAGTTTAAGTTTATTCAAGAAATATAGAAAATACCCTGTTAACAAGTGTTTTGAAAGATGAAAATAAATATTATATTATTATTATATTTTAATAATACATTTTATATTTAATCATAATACACAAAATATCAAAATTTTTAACGAATATATGAATTTATAAGTTGTATGTTTTATCCTTATAAGTTATTACAAACGTATAACACATCAAATTTTACATTTAATAATTAATTTTTTCTTATTTTTAATATTAGAGTGAATTTATTACCTATTACAAATTTAAAGGTAAGTAGTTTTAAAACAAGTTAAGAGTTATTTAAAATTTAAAAAGAAAAATTTTTTTTATAAAAAATAAATTAGTGTTACAATTTATACAGGAGTAAAATAAACAATGTTTATTAACCCATTAATGCTGTGCGTTGCCATATTGAAACATGGACTTTTTACAATCATTTTTGAGGTATAACATATGTTTTCAACAAAATGTTGGTTAAAATTATAAATAAAAAAACTCTGGGGCTAATGGGTTAAAAGTTAAAAGGAATGTTAATGGTTGAATTGGGAAGGCATTTAATAGACCAGTGGCGTGGCAAACTAAACATTTTCCAGAGGCAAGTTACAAATATCCTAAGTCCTAATGCATAATAATGTATTAATATATTATATAATATAACTGTTAACCCCCCAAGGTTGGCCGTAGTATTTGGGCCTGTATGGTGAGTGGTGACAGGCCGACTAGTAAGTTAGTTAGTTGTGCGCCAGACATTGTCTGTGCGGTTGTCTCTCTGTCGGTTTGTACGAAGAGCGAGGCCGAAGAGTGAATATTGTGTCAATAAAGTTATTTAATACTAATTGAAAAGTGCCTTTTCTTATTTCTACTAGTATAGTGTTGTGAGCTGATTTGGAGTTGAAGAAGAGGTGATAACATAACTAATTAAATTTCAGATCGTTATTGACTACCTATTGAGCATATCATATTATATTTATATTTTATACTAAGGGATCCACCGACTACCACCTATCCCTCTATTTAAGAAATTACCACGCCACTGCACCTAACTAACAACAAAACAAAAATTACAATATTATAAAATGCTCATAATAATCTTTAACATTAAAATATTTGTAGAGGTTAATAATTGTACAATAAATTATAGTATAAAATACTAGTATACTACCTATAACAATACTGTAAAATCAATGGCATTAATAGGCAATCAATGTTGAGTACCTTTTCGTACTAGAGGAAAACTGCTCTTTGGTTGTACAGTATTAAATTTTGTTGCAATATAAATAAATGGGTCAAATAAACTTGTCCGGTCCAAAGCATTAACTTCAAAATGTTTCATTTTTTCTCTAATAGACCAATGGGAAGCTCGACTTGTAGGACACTCTAAAGTTGGGGCTTTGATATCCATTTCTCGCATTCTATGGCCAATAATGACATAAAAAGCCTAAAAAAAAAAAATACATCAAACATAAAATGTATTATTTGTTTAATCTTAAGAATTAACTATTTAAATTTCTACTATATTTACATCTTTTTTTTCCTTATTCTTATCAATTTCTTTTTTTAATGTGACCAAGCAATCAAATGTTTCTGGCCGACTTGTATCATATACTAGTATAAAGGCATCTGCAATGGACGCATACTGCTTAGCTATTTGACCAAAAGACAACATAAGCGAAGGATCTGGATTTGAATACAATCCAACCTCAGGTAACTGTGTCAAATCCAAACCAGCAGTATCATAAAAACGAACTTGTTCACGTACCCCTTTGCTAATATCTATAGTTATAGAAGCCTGGTATATATCTTCGATGGTAGGCCACAGTTTCTACAACCAAAATTAAACAGCAATAATAAATAATAACAGTAGGTATTCTATGTTCTAATAAACTCACATAATTTTTACTAAAATGTCCATAAATAGCTTGTTCCAATATTGCTGTCTTACCAACGCCTTTCACGCCAAATACAACGACACGATAGTTTTTTACCATTTTTACTCATACAGTTTAATTGCAGTTAAAAATAATTACAAATAAAGAAAAAAGTTATAATATTGATATTATAATAGGGACCTATATCATATATGATCATAAAATCTTGACAGTCGACACTGACATTATATATTTATATCAACATAATTAATATTTCATATTTGATGATAATTATTTATAACAATAATTCAAGTATGAAAAATTAACATCAGTGATTATTTCACAAATTTTTTTAAATTCAGTATACATTCGAAATCATTCAGTGTGATTTATTGTTAGTTGCTGATAAAGACGTGATTCACGATCATAAACAACCACGATTATAGATGTTCTAAGGATAATATCTGTGGTGTAAACCCAGAGTTCTTATATATCACAGATAAAGAACCCGTATATAATGAGTTTGCACCGAAGCCGTTCAGCTTCACTGTGGGTTGCATTGTTGAAGTTTGCATAGCGACAAGATAGGATTTATGTTTGAAGCACAAATCTGAAGTAGAAATATTAATATATTGATTAAAGCTTTGTTAGTAACCCAACAATAATAAAAAAAATAAAATTAATCAAATAGAAAATTCGATGATATATGATGTTTTTAGTTTTTACTTTAAATAAATATTCGAATATTCATGGTCTAAAGAAAATCGTATTGGCCTCTCGTTCCTAACATCTTTTAGCAGATAACATAAACCTATAGGTTTGGTTTATAACTTTATCCATGATAGGCGCATAGTTACATCAATTATACATCATAATATATAAGGTAAAAAGTAAAATATTACTATTATATAATACATTTTTTCAATTTATGTTTAGTGTATTTTTAAAAGCACATAATCTCGTGTCAAGTGTCGGACGAAGAAGAAATTACTTATGTAAAAAAACAAAAAACCATACACTACGGCTCGTTAGAAGATCAAGAACGTATCCGTCTATCTTCTTTAGCCTTCACTGAAAACGATGGTGAATCAAAAGTTGTAGGAGGAAATATAAACGTATCCAATGGTAATATTAGATGAAAATAATGATTCCAATTAAAATGAAATGTAAAGTAGGTATTTTTAACAAATTAATAATTACATTGTTGTTGTTGACAGAATATTTTGATTTGGAGGATGCTATATCTAAAGACAAACAAGCTTTACTTGAAGAATTTGAACGTAAAAAGAAAGCCCGGCATGTGCAAGTTTCTACTGATGATGACGAAGTTAAAAAAAACCTCAGAAATCTTGGACAAGCCATATGCTTGTATGGGGAAGGACCAGCAGAAAGAAGAAATAGATTGAGAGAACTGCTTTCAAGGTATTTAACATTCATTTTTACAAATGTATTAGTTAATGTCTTGATGAAATACTAATTACTATTTTGATTACACTAGGATTAACAGACATTGTATAAATATGTTTTAGAGTAGGAGAAGATGTTGTAGCAAAAAAACCAGAAGAAGAAAGAGAAAAACGGCAGCAAATCAAAGATCAAGATACAACCTGGTACCATGAAGGGCCACCTTCACTCCTCGATGCACGTTTATATATGGCAGGTATGTAATATAAATTATAACAGTAGTCGCGATAACTCGAAAAACTTGACAACTCGAATTGTGTTTTTTCCCCCTATTTATTAAGTAGATATCTGAAAGTGAATTTTTATCCTCCCCCGTCAACTTAGATTTATCGCGACAACTGTATTATAATATGTTATATAAATAGCATTATATTTTTATACTAATATTTCATTAATGCAGTCCACAAAAACAAAAAAATAATTTTATTTTTATTTTGATAAACAAAGAACTTCCCTTAATATGGTTCATTATTGGTTTTAAAATAATTATTTTAGAGTATTCATTGTTGAGATCCAACTTTCGTTTGGAAAAGCTCAGAGAAGAAGCTAGTATACCTGAATCAACACTTACAGCTCGCCTACAAGATTTACACAAATACACAACATCTCTATCTATTTATTGTAGTCAAATTGGCGATACTAGACCAATTTCATACTGCCGGTTTAGTCCTGATTCGCAGTTTATAGCTACATCATCTTGGTAAATTATTTTTATTTCTGATGAACTTGCTTATAAATGTCCATTAGAACTTTCTTATAATTATTTTTGTATTTATAACTTATTTCAGGAGTGGTTTGTGTAAATTATGGTCAGTTCCCGATTGTTCATTAGTTCAAACATTCAGAGGACATAATTGTAATGTCTGCTCCATCACATTTAATCCACATGCCGGCACTGCAGAAAATGTCTGTGATCTCGTATCATGCGCCAGTGATGGTTCTGTTAAACTTTGGTCCATGGATAGGTAAGTTATTTTACTGCTTGTTCGTGTAAAATATGGAATGAACAAACAATTTTACAATATGTTCCAATAATGTCTATTTTTAGCAAAAAAGAAGAACCTGTAGCAGACCTAGAAGGTCATGCACCATTTAGAGTTTCAAGAGCGGATTTTCATCCATCTGGTCGATTTTTAGGAACTTGCTGTTTTGATAATTCTTGGCGACTATGGGATTTAGAACAAGGAGAAGAAGTTCTCCATCAAGAAGGACATTGTAAACCAGTTTATTGTATGTCGTTTCAGTGTGACGGCTCAATTGTTGCGACTGGGTAAGTACAATTATTTATTAATTGTATTTTAATATTTAAATAAAATCCCTGTTTTAGTATTAATATCATACTCATTCATTATTTCTTATTATATTATGTTAATAGGGGATTGGATGCGTTTGGTCGTGTTTGGGATTTGCGTACAGGAAGATGTATTATGTTTATGGAAGGTCATTTAAAGTCTATATATAGTATAGACTTTTCTCCTAATGGGTAATTTTTTATTTAACAAAAGCTTACAAAACAATACTCAACTAAAATTAATTTTAATTTTAAGTTATCAAATGGCCACTGGTAGTGAAGATAACACATGTCGTATTTGGGATGTAAGAAAAAGATCATGTCTATACACTATTCCAGCGCATATGAGTCTTGTTTCGGGACTGAGATACCAACCTGAAGGTCATTTTATAGTTACGTCTTCATATGATAACACAATCAAGGTACTCATAATAAATAAATTGTGTTAATTAGTTAAATAAAAATATTTAATTTTTATAGATTTGGGCGAATAAAACATGGCAAATGTTAAAAACACTATCTGGACATGACAACAAAATAATGGGAGTGGACATATCTCCAGATTCTAAATATATAGCATCTTCATCATATGATAGAACATTTAAATTATGGGCTCCTGAATACTCATCATAACTTTTGAGTTTAGCTGATTAAACAATATGTTATTTTATACTTGTTAAAATAATATAGTATTAAAATAAATTGCATATTACATTTTTTTTATCTTATATTTCTAATTTTTGCTATTACTGATGCTACTTTTGAAGCAGCAATTGATGATGATTTCATTATGTACTCATCACTTTCTAGTCTTAATAAATTCATTATTTGCATAGTAGTTTCATTGAGTTTGACTCCGAGTTCTTCCAATACATATCCCAAGTATTCTGAAATAATATGTTTAAATAAGTAAAATAAAAATTAGTAAAAACATACAGATCAGTTTCTGATTATGTACTGTATTCAAGTGTAATTAAAATGCCAGTACAAAATAAGGTTTCCAATTTTAATTTGTTGTAATATTATATTTAAAAATATATTCTTTTATTTACTAAACAATACTTATATAATAATTTAAAATCCTTTAAAAACTCATGGCATTGAGTCAAAAAATGTATACAGCTGAAATCCTTGGAACTATACTCTATTCCAAATTAGTCTGGAAAATACCCCATCGTGGTTTGAGCATGTGCAGTCTCATTGGCTGTGGTCGGCGTGACTGACTATTGCAGCCAATCACATAGGTTGTGCAGTTTTCCAGACTTATTTGGAATAGACTATAGTCCACCATCCAGATTTATTCATATAACAACAAATTTTACATTAATCTTCTTCAAAATTTTAAAAGCAGTAACTACTGACTTAGAAGGAATTAAAGTAACACATTCCATAACATGTATTGAAAATTAAATATATTCATATTGCAATGATTACTAAAACTATAAATAAATGGTATAATGAAAATTAATAAGTAAAAATAATTTATTTAGTGATTTAACCTGATCAATATTTTTTTATTGAGCTATGTAAAATAGTGAATTAAATTAATTCATAAAAGACTTACCAATATCTGCAGCTAGTTGTTGAGCAGCCAAATCATTTATTTCTCTTAATGACTGTATCTGTTCTACATATACATCACATGTATTTCTTGCTAATATCCTTAATAAGACATTTGTAAAACTTTCTTCCAGCGAAGCATCTGTGTAACGTCTATCAGATATACTTAAAACTACAGTTACTGCCTCATTATCACGTACTAAAAATGGTTCAACATGCTGAGGAAGTGTAATTAAATACTGTCCAATCTATTAAAATGCAAAAAAAAATTGTTTACCTAAGATTATTTGTTTTAGAAACATACGGACATAATTATCTATAGTCACCAGTGGTTGAATTGGAGGGGGGCGCGGGGGGACGGAGTCCAACTTCTATTTTTAAAATATTTTAGCGTACCCTCTATTCAGAATGATAAGACATTTAAATGTTGGGGGACGCACAATGTTTTATACTTTTGCCTACCCTTCTATTTTTTTTCCAATTCAAGCACTGATAGTCACATATAACATTACTTGGGTAATATATTCTCGAGGAGAAAGTCTATGAGCATCAGATGTTTCCTTATTAAATTTTACTTTTTCCAGTTGCTCTAAGTAAAATGATATTGGCCTAAATGATATTTTATAAAAAGTTTGGTATATATGAGAACACAATTTTTCTGTTGCTTGAATTGATTCTTTAAATAATTTCCAGTCACTATCTAAAAATAAAATTATGTTTATACAAAAAATTACGTACAATAGTTATATGAAAGAAAAGAAAATGTTAATAACTTAGCAAAGCTTTGTGTATGTAAAAAGATTGGAGTCCGTTGATAGAACTCAATAAAATAACAAATAAAATAAACACTAAACTTAACAATATTTTTAAAAACTATTAAAGCTTACTAAAAAAAAATAATTTATAAATTGAAAAACATACCACTTTTTAATAAATCAATAACATTTTTTAATTCAATTTGCCTATCTTCAAGTAATAAATATTTTGAAACATTTAATGCCCGTTGTTCATTTGTTAAAATACAACTTTTAAATTCAGATTCCACAAAATAGAGTTCTCGTAAAAATTCTCCTAAAAGTATAAAATAATAATTTCAAATGTTAAATGTACAACAATAATTCTATTTTTGAATAATCACCAGCAGATTGTAAAAATTTTAAACATATTTGAAACAAATTCCAGTTTTCTCCTGGTTTAATGTTAACTAATATTTTTTTTAATACTTCTTTCCCTCCTTCAATAACGTTAGAAAATATCCTCTATAAATTAAATTATTTTTCATTAGAAATATTTCAATGTATTTTAAGTAAAATTATTTTTCTTACGTTAATAGCAAAGATCATTTCAGGAAAAACACAGTGACTAAAAACAGCACTTCGACGTTTTGCTTCTTCTGATGCTCTAAAAACAGTTAGTTGAGACTGACCAAAAGCTTGAACTACATCTACTAAATCATCTTGGTTTAATGCAAAATCAGTGATTTTTTTTGAATGCTCATATTCAAATTCTTTATAAGAAACAATTTGTGGAATCAATGGTCTGTATATACTTGTTAATATGTTATCCCAATTAAATGAATCACCTATACAAATGTAATTTGTAATTAAATATTAATCAAAATATATAAATAAAATGCTTACTAATTTTTGAATCATTTTTTATATTTTTAATAAATACGTCAGTTGTTATAAATAAATCTAATAGTAAAATCAGTGGTTCTTGATGGTTTTTGATAGATACGTCAACCAATTCAAACATTGGAAGTTCTAATATATTAAACAAATCTCCATATGATAGAATTAATTGACATTCTATTTCAGGTTGTACTTCATTATTAAATAATTTTTTGTACAAAATCATCTGTATAATTATTTAAATTCATCAAAATTAAAATATTCAAAATTAATATACATGATAATTTTAGACACTAAGTGTTTTGATATTATTTTAAATCATATAAAATGGATAGTGATGTCTAAAAACTTAAAAACACTCATACATTTTTTATTTATAACAATTCATACTATACTCTTTCCGGCAAGAGAACACCCCTATTCTGGGCATGAAGACTGATGGCCAAAGCCCCACTCACTTTCCTCCAAAATACCTAACTATTTCGAAGACGGTTGATCAGGGCATCGGCAGCACATCTGTCAAACCGACACCAATTTCAACCGACCACTACTGATAACAACAATCGGGCATCGGTGTGGTTTTGGTGGAAACACTAGCTGTGTTTAGTATGAGGATTATGAATGCGTAGAACAAAACAATTATTTTCATAGTGCATTTTCTCACTAGACAGAGTAATAAGTCCCCAAATAAATATTATTATATGATATTAAAGTTATAAAACTTTTGCAAAGAAACTTTTATATTTTAACAGTATTTATGTATTTTAGAATAATTTTTAGGTATGTAATACAACCATAATAGTATAGTCTATAAATACTAGTGCTTTATGTTCCATCCATTGTATATAATTTATAGGTGATGTATTAAATTTGCTTAAATTTGCATAATTAGTTAATTAACTTACTTGCTGCTTTTTACATTCTATTAACGCTTCATAAAAACTTTCAAAAAACATTAAAGGATTTTTAGAATACTCATTGACGTACATTTTTGATGACCACTCTTTACGTAATCTGTTTTTATTGCACTTTAAATAATATTTAATAATCTGATCATGTTTTTCTAGATCCGTAAATATATTTACATAATGCTTTGATTCATCTGTAAAATGCATTTTTAAATATATTTTATACATACATCTATATTACATGAATACATGTACCAAATTATTTTAGAAACTGATTTTCATACCAATTTTTTCATTTTCAAAAGCCACATTAACCATTGGAATCAATATTACTTCAAATTTACTTTTTAGCTCTTCCAACTGATTTTTTCTTTCTTCGTAATCGGAATTATTTTCCAATACTGCTAAAGAACGTTGCATTCTAATCAATCTATTAGTTACTTGGTCTATTTCTCCATTATCCATTAACTAAATATAACACATTCAACATTGCCGAATATATTTTTTTCTAGTTATAAATTAGTTATTGTTAATAATTACTATTTCAATATCAGTAATAAGTTTTGTCCAATTGTCCGCTTCCTCCAAAGCATTTTTGGTAACTTCCATTTTACATTTGATTCCATCATATAATTGAAGTTTCAATAATGATTCACCAGTGTTACTTTTTACCTATTCATCAAATTAAAAAAAAATACAATTATAAATATTGTTTTTTAGTAAATATTAAACCTAGTTAATCACTGTATTTATTTCTTGTTTTAAATCAATAATTTTTTGTTGGATATTTGTCGCTTGATTTTCAAATTTCTCTATGTCATTGACAACTTTTGGTAGAGAAGAAAGAACTTGTATTGTTGTTTCGTCGAGTACCTCGTGTACCTGTTCTACACATAATTGTAGCTTTTTCAACATAGATGGAATTACCTATTCAAACAAATGTTTATAATATGTTTATCATAGATTAGTATTTTTTTTTATTATACCGCAGTGATATAGGCATTAATATCCATTTTCATAAGTATTTACATAAAATATACAGTAAATATATAATAGTATAAGTGTATAACATATAATTCACGGCTAATGTCTAAACTATAAATAATATATAATAATATTATATAATATATTATTATTTATACACACCTCACGACATTGATCTGGGGGTTTATCCTTTAATGTATTATTAATCCAATCTACAACACTAAAATCTTTTTCTGAAAACGATGAAATATTCTGTAAAAATAAAATGAAATATACATTTACATGCTACCTATTTATTAACAAACATTATTTATGTATTTTAAAGTCAAAATTACCATTGTAATTGATTACCACCAATGATCACGATCCCGAAATTCTGTGCCAAAACTATTGAATCGTGTCTAAACCATAAAATTTAATACTGTACTACTGTTGTGCAGCACAGTCGCCACAGATTATAAATTATAATAATTTATTGTAGTGTAGTGGCTTACAGTTGTATAATATAGATTAAAATTGTTGTGTTGTAGACGGTTGATAGTACGGACTTATATCACAGAATATTATTATGTGCCACGGTTGCAGATAGTAATAAAAAAATATATCTAAAATCGTGATCTGTGCTTATACCTAATAGTGGAAAGTAGTTGATAACTTGATATAAAGAATAAAGATAAAATATATTAAAGAATAATCACGAATTAAAATATACTACTAATAATAGTAATTTTAATAATAAGATCTTTTTTTTTTTAACAAAATTATTTATTACGCTATCTGTTATAATATTGAACAATAAGCTTGAGTGATAATAACAAAAAAAAACAGACAGAAGAGACCTCCCATCGGAGGTAATTAAAATCTTAGTCCGTGATTTTCATTCATGAGAAAAATCATGAAATAAATTATCTAATTGATAATAATGATTATAATTCATAATAAGTTTTTATGATAAGTTCTGATAGTACCGATAGATATTACAAAAAATAGTATCATTATCATAGAAATGCACAGACATATAAACATAAGTTATAACGTACGGGAGAAAAAAACACAAAAAAAAACCAAAAAACAAAAAACCACACAAAAAAACCCAAAACAAAAAAAAACCATGAAAATAAAAACCAAATTTTTATATTTTGCTATATTATGTCATATTTCATTAGATATAAGTTTAAATTTTTCTTATTAAAAATGTTGATCAATAATCAAACTGCCCGGTGTCAGAGGCGTCTTGTAAAAAAATTTGGAGTGTTTGGGTGAATGGCCACTGGTCAGTGGGGCAGTGCTCAGTAGTTGGTTTTAAAATGAAACTTAATAAAATTTAATAGTAATAGCGAAGCGAGAAAATTTTTTTTAGGGTAGGTGGGTGATTTAAATTTATCTGCCCCGGTAATTTAAACTTAAAATGTCTGTAAAAAATAACTGTGCATTTATATATTGTTCACATTGTTTGGTTACATTATGAAATATTTATGAGAATTATTGTTTTAAATTTTCGATCCTTAGCTATAAAACATTTTATAATACGTTTTAAAAAATTGTCACAATACAATAATAAGAATAATAATTTAAAATAAGTTTAAATTTCAGTTTAATTTTCAAGCTTTTTACCTAACAAATAAAATTTTCTTGACACTCATAGAAATAAAAACTAAAAAAATTTTAAACTGAAAAATTATTTGTGGGTACTTACTTGGAACTTCTAAATTCTATTATTATATACAAATATGAAATAATAATTATTCAACTAAACCGGTTACTTCAATTTCGTTAATATTGTGTCAAAAGGATGACCTACCAAAATACTCAAGTTCCGTCTAGTGTAGCTGAGACCGATAGGATTTTTTCTTTTTTCTGTAGGGGTGGGCTATAGAGATAGAACTAGCAAGTGATCTTCTACCTTAAAGGTTACTGTCTACCATATAGGTATTTAACAGTTTCTTCTAAATATATCGTCAATCGTATTTGTTATTTTTCAACAGGCTATGAAATTTATAACTGTAATTAGTACCCAATAATAATATAGTACCAACCAATATACGCCACTGACAATAGTACTTCAACTGAATAGAACACCTAGGCAGTTGGATATTGATCAACATTTTAATTAGAAAATTAAAACTTTGTCTAATGAATATGACATAAATACATAATATAGTAAAATATAAATATTTGGTTTTTATTTTCAAGGTTTTTTTTCCTTGATTTTTTTTCCGTGATTCGTTAATAACAAACCACAATAATGTGTGTATTTTTCTGTCAGCATCTTTCCTGATAGAAAAGTGAATGTAGTTGGAAATACTTTGGGGGGTCAACAATTAAAATTTCAAGTAGTTTTAGAACACAGATTTCTATATAGTATAGTATAGTATAAAAGTCTATGTTTTAGAAAGCGTTAAGAAAAACAATAAATAGTGAAAAAAGTGAGTCATTTTTACGCAAACCAATTTTTGAAAAAATCGATGTTTTTAGTGCAACTCAAAAATTAATAAGCGTAGACATTTGACCTTTCAAATTTTTATATTATCATCTTCAATGAATATTGAATGGTAACATTTTCGAAATATTTTGAGTTTTGACTCTTTTTGAGCTAGTTATTGTCTTAAGAAATTTTTCGAATTTTATAAATTTTTTAAAATTATTCTCGATGAAAACTTTATCACTTAGTAAAATAAGCTTGACAATTTAATGCAAGGTTCCTTACAAGTTTTATTATAGTATATTAAAAAATATTAAAAATGCAATAGTTATAGACCGTTTAATGTTATATGCATTTAAAGTTCAAATTTTAACAAAATACAACTATTTTACAGTTAAAAATTCATCAAAATTCTTCCTTTCATACCTATTATTAGAAACTCTAATAGAAAACTCCCCAAAAATGTGAAAAATGTTCCTACCTTAAAATAAAAAAAAAAAAAGTTTCCCGGAAAGTAATATTAATTTTGTATGAGTGTTTAAATTTGAATATTTATTATTTATACAAGTTTATGCTATACTGACACAACATTTCCGCTCAAAATCGTTTTTCGTATACAATGATTTATCATTGAATTTAAATATAAAACGTCCATTAGAACGACATACTCGACAACTACAGTACACCAAATCGGTAGTCGTTACCATAGATTAAGTATATAGAATGGTCGGTACCCATTTGTTGACCTTTTTTAATATTCAATTTATTTTTAAAATTATAAATAAATTATAACCAGGCTTTAAAGTGGGAGGGGGGCAGGAGGACTCATAGTCCCCCTACCTCTGACTTCGGTTAAAAAGCGTCCCCTTTAAGAAATTAGGATTTTATACATTAGACATTATACAGAAAATTATATATGGAACGCTTAAAACTATATACAGACATTAGTCCCATCTGGAATTTTTTTCCCACTTTAATCCCTGAATCCTGATAATACCATAAGTCTGTAAGTAATTATTTAATGTTGATTGGTATAAATAAAACGTGTATGACTGTATTACAGTAATATATATGGGGGCCCTAGAGCGGCTAGAGCTATAACCCCCAAGACCCCCCTCTCCATTAGCTTGGTGTGCACAGATAACTTTAAAATTATCTAGATAAAATAACTGTTAATGCGTATGTTAAAGCTACGTATATAAGTATATTATTATTTATTACTGTTGTAGATGATTTAACATTTTTCCGGAAGACTTGATCGAAATTCCGATTTCTTGATCAAAAAGTGAACTTGATCAAATTTCACAAAAACACATTCAAACTCTCCTCTCTTACACTTCCTGATAAGCCGTCTTGGCGCAGGGACTCAACATTAAAAAAAAAAAGTTAAATAAAACAACACAAAATTTAAAAAAGACCTACTAAAATTAAATGTATTGTCTAAAAAACGTATGAGAAATATGTTCATATGTTGCATATGATGAAAGAAATTAAACAAAGAATGTGATATCGAATATGCGAACGATCTGAATATAAGTAACAGGAACTTATGCTGTGGAGAAGTTGAACGACTATTTTTTATAGCTATAGGCCAACTTCGCCGACAAAACCAAAGAATGCTGAACGAGTAGTGACTAAACCATGCGACCCTGGTACCACTGAGTCAGTTTCGACATACGACCCAACACGAGAGGATTTTTTGACGGTCGAGTTGTCAACTTGAAAATAAAGATCCTTTGATAAAAACGGATCGGATCTTTAAATAACCTAGTCCGTTACTGGTTACTCCGGGTATGGAGTAATTTTCTGTAGTTTTCATAGGATTTGATCCGTAGGACTGATCTTATAGAAAGTCTTAAAAGTAGGATCAGTAGGATCCTAGTCAATTAGTGGCCGAACAAAGATTTGATCAGTAGGACTTATTCCAAGGCTGGGGCGCTGGGCATTAACGAGTCAAAAAGTTAAAGTTAAGTTAACTATTACTTTTGGCTTTTCATTAACTTAACAGTTAATTTACTAAATTTCTTTTTTAATTGACGTGAAATTAACAAATTAATTTTTCATTTTAAGAAATAAGTTAAGTTAATTTATTTTGTTTTTAATTTTATTATATTTCACTATTTTAGTCTATTTCGTTTTCATGTCAAAACATGTTTACCGTGAATTGTTTGAAGTTAAAAATGTATATCATTCGAATCTATAACTTATAGGGAAATACTGTATAAAGTATAAACACTATAGTCCATAGTTTTAACTTAATAAAAAGTTAACAAAAATGTGTATTAACTATTAATGTGTCTGAGTTAACTTATAGTTAAATTAACTTTTAACTTTTTGTTATTGATGCATATTAACTTAATTGAGTTAAAAAAAACCATTAACTTGCACAGCCTTGAGCCTTATTCCGTCGAACTTTTGTACCAAACGGATTTACCAACAGACTTCACCTTTCGATGACCAAATCCTTCGAAAAATCCGGTCGTGTATGTCTAGTATATAATAGACTAATATGATTATTTTATTGTCAAAGAAAAATGCCCGGTCCAACCGGTATTATCAAATACTGTAAATATAACAGTATTATAACAATATTTACAGTATTTGATATTATTCCAAGTCCAGCCCGGGCCGGTCCTTGCAGGTTTTTAGTCTTTAATATCTCTACTACTGAGTACCATGATTTGCGGAAATCGGGGGGGAGGTGCTTAAGGGGACTTACCCCCCCCCCAAACAAAAAGTCCGTCAATCCCCTCCTTTTTTAGTTTTGTAGGATCGAAGCCTATTAATGTTAATTATGTTAGCCCCCCCTGAAATTTTAATGGATTTCCGCCTATGTTGAGTACTCAATCAATACAAAATAAGCAACAACATACGAAAATAATATTATAATTAGCTATCTGAATTCTGCGGCATTAT